CACCCCACACATACATACCACATACACACCACACATACACACCACATACATACCACATACACACCACATACACACCCCACATATACACCCCACATACACACACCACATACTACACACACACATCACACACACATACACACCACATACACACACCACACACACATACACACATACCACACACCACACATACCACACACCACACATACCACACACCACACCACACACACACATCCACCACACCCACACACACATACACACACCACACACATACCATATACACCACACACACATACACACACACACACACCGCATACACACACACACCGAACACACATACACACACACATACACACATACCACACACCACACATACCACACACACCACACATACCACACACACATACACACACCACACACACACATACCATATACACCATACACACACATACACACATACCACACACACCAGACACATAAACACACACCACACACACATACACACCACACACACACACACATACCACACACACATACACACACCACACACCACACATACCACACACACCACACACCACACACACACACACACACTGCATACACATACACACACACACATACACACATACACACATACACACACACATACCACACACACCACACACACATAAACACACACCACACACACACATATACACATCAGACATACACATACACTGCACATATGTGTGTGCGTACACACGCGTGCACGTGCAAGAACACATACTTGTTGAACAGAGACACGGGTCCACACGCTGATGTCTTGCTCTCTCCCTCCTTGTAGCCTCACTTTTAGCCATGTGCAATGTGCCCACCACTGCTGAAGCCACCACTGAGTCAGTGCCACCCGCTGTCCTCGAAGGGAGCAGTGTCCTTCTACTCGCTCACAATCTGCCAGGCAACCTTTCAGCCTATCACTGGTTCAAGGGGGAAAAGCCACTGGACAAAAATCTAATTGTAACGTATGACATAACATCTCAGGAAATGAAGCGAGGAAAGCTACACGATGGCAGAGAGACACTATACCCTAATGGATCCTTGATGTTACAGAATGTCACCTTGAAGCAATCTGGAATCTACAACCTAAATATCCAGTCTGCAGAGTCTGACCAAAAATCAGTGCTCGTGGAGGTCTTCGTATACCGTAAGTGACTCCCTGTGGCCTCCAGCAGCTGCGTGGGGCTCACGGCGTTGCTACATGCACACAGGCTTTCAGTCGGTACCCGGCCTCATCTTCTCTGCATCACGGTCCCTTGCTGGGCTTTGAGCACTTAGTGGAGGACACACATGGTGGAAACAGACTTGAAGAAGGGAGACTCCTTCCCCTGCGCCCACACTGCAGAAAGCAGGCTGGTGTGAAGGGGAAGTCTGCCCCACACCTGTCCCTGTCCCAGGGACCATGGCTCTGAGGAAGGTCCTGAGGGCTCAGTCGAGGACTGGCTAAGTGCCCCGACCTGCCGGCTACCACGCGAGCTCACACGCCCCCCCCCCATGTGCTGCAGTCACCAAAGAACCTAGAACGGAAGGGTGAGGGGGAACAAAGAACGACATCGAGACAGGTTTCTGATCAAGCTGCAAATTTTTATTTCTCACAGGGACCTGATATAGGGGTGCAAGCGGGGGGGGGGGAGCTTGGCAGGCAGGGAGAGGTCGTTTGAGGCTGCTTGCCTGGTAACCAGGCTGAGGAATGTCCCAGTATGTGAGTCCTTGAGGGTGCAGGAGGTTACCAAGGTGGCAAGGTGCAGGTGTTAGATAGTGGGTTAGAAGGGGGGAAAGGTTGCTAGGCAACCTGACCATAAAATGTGTCTTTCCTTCTATAAGCTACTTCATGAGCCCAGACGTTATGTATCAGGGAAGAAAGGATTGAAGGCAGCTATTCTTCTAATACTAGTGTGTTTATACTGACAGCTTCTGCCCAAGTCTCTTACAGGTCCAAGGTTACTTTTGTCATGGCCCCCAACAGCTAAGGGCCCTGGGTCCTCACAAAGGAGGTCTTTTTTACCAAAGTCAGGTGACTGTGAGCACCCTGAGGGCCGTCTATAGACAAGGTAGTAATCCCCACAACGGCTACCCTGCAGAAAGGAAACCAGAGAGTGAGGAATGCGGCTGATGAATCTTGGCCACACAGGGCATGAGTGCTGGCCAGAGGACGCCATGTCTGCCTACAGGACAGTCCTCGTCCATGACTGGGTTTCATCTGAGGCACCCATGGAGCTGCTGGGTCAGAGGCTTTCCTCATAGACAGGAAGTTCTGGAGAAAGACTGCTGTGTGAGCTGGAGCACACACACAACCCTTTTTATTCTCCAGCAGAATCACATGAATCGGGACAATGTCTTGGCCATCTCCTCCAGGCACATGCTAGCTTATTTGACTTAAAATCATTTGATTGATGGGAAGGCACTCTGTTACGACAAATCTTTCTGCCAAAAGCCGCCTGAGCCCCACCGTCACGTGTGAGCTTTACACCAGCCGCCCGCCTGAGTTAGGGCCCAAATGAATACACAGAAACTTGTATTAGGTTCAAAGCTGCTTGGCCAATGACTAGGAATCTCATCTGTTAGCTCAGTCTCAATGATCATACATCTATATATTTTATAAGACTTATCTTATCAGATGCCTTCCATTGGCGTCCCTCCTTGCCGGTGGCTCACATCCTGCAGCTGGAGCAGGAGCGGAGGGGAAAAGAGGCCCTTCCTGTTTCTCCTTCGCTTAAATATGAGTCTCCTTGCTATGTCACTTCCTGCCTGGATCACCACTTCTCTACTACATTTCCCAGAATCCTCTTTGACTCCTCGTCTCGTCTAACTTGCTGTCTCATTGGCCAAACAGTATTTTATTTAACAATCAATAAGATAAACATACACAGAAGTACTTCCCTCATCATCTTTAGAGGATAAAGGAAACAGCTTTGCTTTTTCCCTCTCCACTGGACCCTGGAACCAGGGAGGTCCCAAAGAATAGACAACTCCTAGTAGTTGTGTGATAAAGAATCGGGGAAATCCAGGCAAGACGGCGTTAGCCTTCAATCCCAGCACTTGGAAGGCTGGGATGGCAAAACAGCCAAAAGCTCCAAACAAGTTCAGACCACATACTGAGGAGTGAGCAGTGAAAGAGGGAATGGACCTACAAGCTTCTTAGATGCTGCAACGAGTTGAGAGTCTGGAACTCTGGACATAGCCACTCTCTGTCCACAGTGGACGCAGCGCCCGTGCTGTCCCTGTGAACACATGCTCCTAAGGTAACCTCAGGAGTCGTTTCACCAGTCAACTTCTAGTTCAGAGTTTCTGGTTTTTTTACTCCTGAGGTAGCTGTGGAGCTTGTGGTCTGTGACAGCTAAGAAGTCACTGTGAGACCCTCTATCTCTCTGCTAATTGCCCATGACTTACCCTCTTATTCCAAGCCGGACTGTGCCTCCCCTGTGTACCAGGCTTTTTCTTTGGGGCCACCAACCAGCTCCCAAACCATGACACAGAGACTTAATATTAATTACGAATGCTTGACCTTAGCTCTTATTTTAATCTGTTTCTCTTTATCTACATTTTGCCTCGGGGCTTTTCAGCCTGCTTTCTTTTTTCTTACTTACTTGCTGTCTCCATGTCTGGCTGGTGTCTGCCTGGCTTCTTGCCCCAGGTGTGTCCCTTGTCCTCTCCTCCTCCTCTCGTTCCTCTTCTCTCAAGCCTAGATTTCTCCTCCTATTTATTCTCTCTGCCTGCCAGCCCCGCCAATCCTTTCTCTGCCTAGCTATTGGCCATTTGGCTCTTTATTAGACCAATGAGGTGCCTTAGGCAGGCAAGTGAGACAGATGCAACACATCTTCTCCCCGCCACACACACACCCTAAGACAGGGTTTCTCTGTGTAACAGCAATGGCTGTCCTGGAACTCGCTCTGTAGACCAGGCTGGCCTCTGCCTCCTGAGTGCTGGAATTACAGGTGTACACCACCACTGCCTGGCTGATGCAACACCTCTTTTTTAAAGGGATATCCCACATTTATTTTATTTTATTGAAAATAGATTTTTCTTTTTTTCTTTTCAGATTTTTTTATTTGAATTAGAAACAAGATTGTTTTACATGACAATCCCAGTTCCCTTCTCCCTCCCGTCCTCCCCTACCACCCCCAACTAAAACGCTACCTATCACATACCCTTTCTTCTGTTCTTCCCCTGACTCAAACTTTCTGCTCCGTCATGACCTCTGCATCCTTCCTCTTCTTCCCTTCTCATTCTCGTAGTTCCCTCCCCCCTCTTCCTGTGCTCTCAATTTGCTCAGGGGATCTTGACCCTTCCCCCTTCTCCAGGGGGCCATGTATGTCTCTCTAAGGGTCCTCCTTGTTTCCTAGCTTCTCTGGTAGTGTGGATTGTAGGCTGGTAATCCTTTACTCTATGTCTAAAATATACATATGAATGAGTACATATCATGTTTGTCTTTTTGTGATTGGGTTACCTCACTCAGAATGGTCTCTTCTAGTTCCATCCATTTTCCTGCAAATTTCAAAATTCCATTGTTTTTTCCGCTGAGTAGTACTCCATTGTGTAAATATACCACATTTTCTCTATCCATTCTTCAGTTGAGGGGCATCTAGGCTTCTTCCAGGTTCTGGCTATTACAAATACTGCTGCTATAAACATCGTTGAACAGATGTCCTTGTTGTATGAATGTGCTTCTTTTGGGTATATGCCTAAGAGTGGATTTGCTGGATCTTGTGGTAGACTTGAGGAGTCGCCATGCTGATTTCCACAGTGGCTGTACAAGTTGGCATTCCCAGAAGCAGTGGAGGAGTGTTCCCCTTTCTCTGCATCCTCTCCAGCATGCACTGTCATTGATCAGTGTTTTTTTTTTTTTTTATTTTAACCACTCTGACAGGAGTAAGATGGTATCTCAGAGTTGTTTTGATTAATGCAACACCTCTTTACATAATTAAAAACACATCCTTATGCATCATTAAACAAATGCAGCATAAACAAAAGTAACACCCCTTTACACAGTTAAAGTAAGATTCTGCAGCCTAAACGAACATAACACATCTTTGCCTAGTTAAAATACTCCACAACACCCCTGTCCGGCTTGCTTCTCTCTTACCTTCTTCCCACAGTAGTGGCTGACTGTTCTCTTCCCTTCCTTCCAACACCTGCAGCCAGACCTCACTGTGGACACAGAAAACAGCCAAGCAGAAGCTTCCATGAGGCTCCACCATTAGCCGGAGATTTAGCTGCCTGTGTCTGACCCAGGCTGCCCTGTGACTGCCATACGACGTAAGCCAGGGAGATCACTTCCATTCGCTATACTGGTTTACAGTATACTGATTTACAGGGAGACTGAAGCTGCAAGCCACAAAGCTCCTGGCCCCTTCCCAACATGCCCCCTGCTTCCTAGAGCCTTCAGGAGGGAGCTGTTTCAACCAGGGCTGGCATGGGCTAGCCCACTTCCACAGGCAGCTGTGATCTAAAGACATCACTATTGTAACAAAGTGAGTTACACTGTGACAGCCTGAAGCTGTTGTCAAGACAGATCTAGGAGTTTGCATCAATTTGCCCCTGCTTGGAGAATGTGATGCAGCTCGGAGTGATGGTTTCCAGGGGTCAAAAGCAAAAGGATAAAGCCATTTCACCTACATTTATTGGCTCTTGTCCACTTTTGCCTTGCCACTCTCCAGAGCAGCTGTGGAATCCACTCTTTGAAACATACTAATACGACATGGCATTTTTTTATATATTAATATAACAGTCGAGGCAGAATTCCCTGGAGCAGGACTCTCAGATCTCTCTACAGGAGAACTATATGTGACCCTGAGGACTTCGGACTTTGGCCTAAGACTTACTGCCCTCTAGAGAGCCATTCCTCTTAGAAACAAGAGCACGGCTCTGCCTGTCCCCCTCACTCTGACACTGGGTCCAGGATGACCACTGAGCCAATATGGGGCTTGCTTCAAGTCTTCCGAGTGTGGTTTCTGATCATCCCTCCAGTGCTTAGTGTTGTATTGCAGGAACCTCCTAGAATCATTGTCTCTACTGATTTTCACTGAATCTAGGGTTAAACATCAAAATGAATAGTTGTTTTCTCTTGGGGGGGTGGGGTTCGAGACAGGGTTTCTCTGTGGCTTTGGAGCCTGTCCTGGAACTAGCTCTTGTGGACCAGGCTGGTCTCAAGAGATCTGCCCACCTCTGCCTCCTGAGTGCTGGGATTAAAGGTGTGAGCCACCACCCCCCTGGCTGAATAGTAGTTTTCTAGAAGTACTACGCCCTTGAAGAAATCATTGTGGGGAACCAGTTGTTTTCTGTTACCTATAGAGCTGTTTTACTGAAGGAGATTTACGTTCGTCACAAGATAGTCCTGGCTCACCTGAAGGTCTTGCATTACTGGGTACGGCAAACGGTACACAGTAAGGACTCAAGTGGCAAGGGTGTGGTGTTTTCCTTCAGAAAACATAAATTAGATGAGGGACTTGGGTGTGAGGAACTTGATTTACTGGCTGTGTGGAGTTCAGTTCACAGAAACTTCCTCCCTGCTGCCAGCGAACCTAAAATTTGTCTCGAAGTGACCCTCTTTCTTCAACCAACCTGGGTGCTTCCCAGGGTTGAGACACAATGGGATGTCCCATGGTGGCTCACCACAACAGCCTTGAGAAGCAAAGCCTCCGAAGACTCACACACAGCACAGCTGGAGGGAGCCAAGCACCCCACGGCCTGAGGTCAGGCAGTGAGGACCAGGAGAGCTAGGCTGGGCTACTGCTGCCGTTCCCGGGGTCAGTCGGCAAGCAAACACTGCATCCCAGTTCACATGCGCGGAAGCCAGTGCTTCTCCCACGCCCAGAGCAGCGGACCCCAGGGGCGGAGTGCCCAGAGCCCCGGGCATCTGTCTGTGGTGAGAGAGGCCCACCCTTGTAGAGAGAGCGCTTTCCGGTATCCAGTACCACACTGATCACTCTTTTCTCTCTTGTCTACACAGCTCGGTTATCCAAACCCTCTATAAGAAGCAATGGCACCACAGCTGTGGAGGGGCAAGAGGCTGTTGAATTGACATGTGACCCTCCCTTCCTGAAAACAACCTACGTGTGGCGGCTAAACGGTAAGGAACTTCCAGGTGACAACAACGTCAGCCTGTCCCAGAGTAACACAACTCTCACTTTACTCAAGGTCTCCAGGCATTTCACAGGACACTATGAGTGTGAAGTCCAGAACCCGCTAAGCGCCTTTCGGAGTAACCCATTCACTCTGGATGTTTACTGTGAGTAACTTCCATCCCTCTCTCATCCTAGCTGCCCAGTATACATCCAATTCTCAGGTCCGAGACACTGACTCTTGCCCCTGAACCAGGCTGCTCCAGGCCCAGCCTGGCAGGCCAAGCCTTAATTTCAAATTCGCCACGGGACACAAAAAGCTTGCCTGCTAATTGGGACCACAGTCAGAGTTTGGGCTTCTGAAACTGTGGCAGTGGTGGTGGGTTCCATGCCCCTTTTTATAGCAAGAAGTAAGCATTAGGCATGGACAAAGGAAGTTTACAATTTTGAGGCTAAGCATGGAGGCATATTGCATCTTAAGATTTACAATTTTTCCTAACAAGGTTTCAGCTAAAATGTATTTACAGAAACCTACAGATTTCCTTCACAGCTGTTTGCAGCTTTTCTGGCATGGCCAGTTTCCCATAGCAGGGAAGGACAGCTGAAAGTCACCTAGGAGCATTTGGTTAAAGTTTGTGGGATGGGGCATATGCTAGGTGTCACGTACAAACCTTTATTAAAAGTTAACTTTGGCCCATGGCAGTTATCAGTTGTAAGTGGTGAAGGGGGGTGTATCATTAAAAAAAAAAAAAACTAACTCCCTAGCTGCAGAGAGCCAATGTAAGAAGCTAACCCTTGGTCATAGCCAGAGCAAAGAAAACCCGTGTTAAAAGTTAATCCCTGTCCTTTACTTAACAGAGTTGATGGTTGTCATTTCCCATTTCTTTAGGCTTGCAGATTTATATTTTTATATTTCTACATTTCTATTCCTGGACCCTTCAACAATTGATTTACAATGATCTCATCAACAACCCTGCTTGGGACAATTGTAAAGAAAGGTTGCCACCTGACTCAGGGATGCACTGACCACAGACCAGGATCTCTCTTTATCCTTTCATGGCATCATGTGTCTTTCTCTTTCCTCCAGATGGTCCAGATACCCCCAAAATATTTCCCCCATACAAATACTTTGAAGAAGGACAAAGCCTGTGGCTATCCTGCCAGGCAACCTCTTACCCTGAAGCACAGTATTCCTGGATTATCAATGGCAAACCCCGGAAATCTGACCAAGAGGTCTTTATCCACAAGGTTAGCCCAAGTAATAGTGGATTATATACCTGCCTCGTCAATAACCCGACAACTGGCCGAGATAATTTCAAAGTTAAAGAAGTTACAGTAGTTGGTAAGTGGCTTCTTATAACACCAGGGCCAATCTCTGAGGTACAGTCTGGGTTTCTGTAAAGAGGGGGGGGGAAGGAACTCCAAAGCCCATGCCCACAGTTGCAAGCAAACCCCAGTCCTCCCCCTAAGGTGCCTTGATCCAGGAGACACCCAGTCCTCCCCGTAAGGTACCTTGATCCAGGAGACACAACGGTCCTCCCCCTAAGTTGCCTCACCAGCACACACCCCAGTCCTCCCTCTAAGGTACCCCACCAGGAGACACCCCAGTCCTCCCCCTAAGGTACCTCACCAGCAGACACTCTTCCCTGGGTGCTCTGACTTCTCTCTGTTGACTTGGGGTTCAGCATGGATTCCACAAGCCTTGGGCCACACATCATTGCTGCTCGTGGGAGATGAGGAAGGAAGGGCTTCTATCTATCTATCTGTCTATGCCTTTGTCCTCCATGTCTCTTCTTGTCCTTTACACTCTCCATAGTCTACAAATGAAACATCCAGACATGAAACATGCTCACACTGTTGTTTCCCCACCTTTGGGATGGAAACACATCACCCCCAACAGAAAGATGATGGACAGGACTTCACAGCTCTTGCCAGTTCTACTCCTGACCTGGTTGGTGACTGGCTCTGTTTTGACTCCATCTAGAGTACAACAGGATGGGTAGAGAATTACCCTGAAAGACCTATCCCAAATCTGGATAGAGTCTGAAGCCAATCAACTCCAGAACCTACATGGGGTCGGGGTACAATAATGGTGAAAGGAGAGCCTTGGGGTAGATGTCTCAAAGCCAGGCTCTACCTCTGAAGATGGGTTGTGGACTCTAGTAAATATGAAACACCAGAGAAAACAGACAGTGTGGCTGTGGGATCACTGCTTGGGAGAGAAAGGAAATATGCAAGAGAACAATGAGATGGCTCATCCAATAAAGTGTTTGCCGCTGCAAACAGGTGGAAACAAATTCAGATCCCTGACACCCACATAGAGCCAGGTAAGACAGGCATTTGGAACCCCAATTTGGTAAGGGAAGCACAGACAGTAACCCTGCCCTGGACCATTGGACTATCTGAGACATGCTTAACAGACTAGATTGGAGAATGCCTAGGCTAGAAGAATCTAAGATACAAACTAAAAGCACAGTAAAACTCTTCAATGGAATTCTACCAGAACACATGCCGGAGCTAGGGAAAGAAACTGATACTGGAGCAGAGAGGCATTTTTGAGTCACAAAGAGATATGACCTCAAAAGGACCTACCTGTGATACATTATGCCTAAAATTCTAAGGCTATAAAAGAAAGAAACATTACAAAAAGCTGCAAGAGAGAAAATGTTAACTCAATTACAAAAACAAACCTCCCAGACTATTAAGACCCCTCAGTCGACACCCTGAAAGCCAGGAAAACATTGAATAACTCATTTCAAAACCTGAAAGTAAGTAACCTACAGACAAGATCGTTATATTCAGCAGAGTGGTCTTTTAAAAATCAATGGAGAAGGACGAGGGAGATGGCTCAGGCTTAAAAGCACTTGCTGCTCTTGCAGAGGACCTAGGTTCAGTTCCCAGCACCAACATTGTGGTTTGCAACCAACTGTAACTTCAGTTACAAGGGATATGGCACCCTCTTCTGACTCTGTGGGCATCAGGTACACACATGGTGCACATAAATACATGGAACACAAACGTTCATGCACATTTTTACAAATAACAGATAAAATCAACAGAGAAATAAAATGCTTCCTAGACAAGCATAAATGATGTCAATGCCTGACCACTTAGTGCTACAGACAACATTAAAGGAACCAGAAATACCAGGGAAGGAGCAAGTCTCATCCATGAGAGCACAGGGTGAAGACTATGCCATGAGGATGACCAACGGGCAAAGGGTAATTACGAAATATTCAACAAGGTCCAACTCAGCAGATGAGTAAATTCCTAATCTGGATAGAAAAGAATAACTGATATTCCAACCAACAAGGAAAATAAAATCACAAGTTTATAAGCACCCAGCCAAGTAACCTCACCCATAGCTCTAGGAAAATGGACCCAAAGCTCCACTTGAAAGAGGACTAGCCAATTGTGTTTTTTAAGTGAATGCATGCACACACACACACACACACACACACACACACACACCTTTGCATGCACACACACGACGATGATTCAACTATTATTTATGTGAATCACACCTGACAAACACAGACATGTGCATGAGCACATACACATATACCTTTGCACGCACATGCATGGCACACACATGAAGATGATTCAAATATTATCTGTAAAAATCATACCTCACTGACAAACACAAACGCACACTGCAAGTGAATATATGGAAGCCAACATACCAAGAAGGAGCCAAGAATGAGGAGTTGCTATACCTATATAAAGTAGATTTCAAGGCAAAATTACCTATAAGAGATAAGGTACCAACAAAGGGAATGATCCCTCAAGAAATTTAAGTAAGTCAGGCAGTGGTAGTACATGCTTTAAGTCCCAGCACTCGGGGGCAGAGACAGGCAAATCTCTGAGTTTGAGGTCAGCCTGGTATAAAAAGTGAGTTCCAAGACAGCCAGAGCTACACAAAGAAACCCTGTTTCACAAAACTAAACAAACAAAAACAACAACAGAATTGGACATATATAGGTCCAGACACAATAATACAGAATAACTTCAATGCCTGATTCTCAATATATGAGAAACAAAGAAAGGACCAGAGTGAAACTGCACCATGGATCAACCAGACTTAACAAATATTGAGAGCATATTCCACCAGGTAACATGGAATACACATATTCAGCATCTCATGAAATGCTCTCCAACAGAGATCACACTTTGAGGTCATACGCCAAGTCCTAGAAAAATATTTAAAAACAGTTTCTCCTGCCTTATCAGGCCATTTGGAATAATCCTACATATCAGCAGTGGGAAAGAACACAGAACCCATATTAATGCATGGAGACCTAATAACTGAACACTTTTGAATCACTGGTCTCACTGAAAAACCAGACAGGGAACTCACAGATTCCTAGAATCAAAAGAAAATGAAAACCCTCATTTTCACAAGGTTTGCAATACAGGACAGATAGTTCTAAGAGAAAGCGGGTAGCCATGAGTGCTCACATAAGTTTGGGCAGAGACAAACATTGTGGCATTTGCCATCATCCAAGAAGAAAGGAGGTAACGGAAGGAAGACCAAGAGTTCAAAGCCATCATCGGCTGCGTAGCAAGTTCGGGGACACGTGGCTCTGCCACAACACAACAAAACAGGAGGAAAAAAGTCAGGGAAAACTCAAATAACATATTGATAGACTTGAAGATGATTAAAAAATTAATCCACAGAAAACCAGTAGACAGAATGGCATCATGAGGATCAATGTGAAATTAATAGAGCCAGACTGAAGCATAAAACATCAGTGAGAGGCCAGTTTCCCAAGTAAAGGTCAACACCCTCTAAGGAGCTGATGAAAAGATCGGCCACAGCAAGTGGCTTCTGGGCCCACAATCACCAGACATCAATGCAGACCCACACAGGCAATGAACCTGAGGCGGTCCTGGGCAGCATGGCCACACGCTGCATCTCCACTGTACCCTTGGTTCCCTTCATGCAGCGTGCACACTTTGCACTACATATGTGCACGGAATATGTATTGAACAGGCCTCACCTCCCGTTCAGCTTCCAAGCACTGACACGCAACACACTACGTTTTCGTATGCTCCATACAACGTCTTATAGCTGGGCATGGCAGCACAAGCCTGTAATCACATCACGTGGGAGGCGGCAATGGGAGAATCAGGCGTCCAATGTCAGCCATGGCTGAATAGTGAGCTCATGGAATCCTGTTTTCAAAACAGAAAGGATTCTGCTCTCACACAGACGTGTTGGTTCAGTTGTGGGGGACAAAGGCCTTTTTTTAATATTTCCTATTTCTTATTGGGTATGTATGAAATTAGTATATCTTTGGGTTCCGCTGTGTTTGGATACTTAGTTTTTCTTTTAAATTGCTGTTTGAGGGGCTGGAAAAAAATGGCTCAATGGTTAAGAGTATTTGCTGCTGTCACGGAGGACCTGAGTTTTGTTGTGCACTGGCAGCTCACAAAATCCTATACATCTCCTGGGGGATTCATTGAGCTCTCCTGGTCACCTTGAGCACATGTAACCACGTACTCATACACACATACACAGACACATACATATACACACAAATGGGTAAAATCTTTTAAATAAAATAAAACACAAAGTTGCTGCTTGAGTTACCAACTTGAGGGGTGTTTTGGGGTGTGTGGGGTGGGGGGGAGGCATGTTTCCCGTGCATGCATGTCTGATCACTTACATGTCTGGTGCCCACAGAGGCCAAAAGAGGGCATTCAGTCCCCTGGTACTCAACATTACCAATTGTGAGCCACTGTCCGGGAACCTAGAACCAAACCCACATTCTACAAGAGCAGCCTGTGCTCTTAACCACTGTGCCACCTCTCCAGACCTTTAAGTTTCATTTTTGAAAACCACTCTTAAATTCAAAAACATATGTAATTACTTTTACATAAAGTAAAACCGTTTTTTTTTTTAACAATTCCCAAAATGCCATAAACCACCTCTTCTATCTTGTGCAAGGCCCTCTTCGTGTGACATGGAATTCTCATCAGCATATATGCTGGAACCAGAATGACACAGGAGAGATTAGCATGGCCTTACATAACGATAGATTCCTGAAGCATCCCCTATTTTTTATCTCCTGCTGAGTGTTAAGTTTTCAATAAAAGTTTTAATTATGGACCAAAAAAATTCAATCATGTCATCTGTAAATGGGCAAGTGATTTGAGACGGTGCCTCTGATGAAAAAAGAAGAGGCCATAGAAGCATCCATAGAATACATACAAGACTTAGCAGCAGGGAGATGCAAGGCAAAACTCCATCTCACCCCAGTCAGAATGGCTGTCGTCAGGGAACAAACAGCAAATACTGGAGAAACTGTAGGGGCAAAGTGTCTTTACACGCTGTGTGTGGAAACTTAAATGACTGTGTGGAGCCTGTGGAATCAGTAGAGTGTCTTCAAAACCAAAAACAGGACTACACACAATGGAGGGTATACTCCAAAAACCTCTAAGCCGCCAGCGCAACACAGAGTTATCTGCACACCCATGCACACTGTGGCACTACTGATAAAACCCATACGCACACGTTTGTGTGTGGGTGTGTGTGTCTCTATGAACGTGAGAAGGAAAGGGGACGATTTGGCAGGATGCCGGCAAGAAGGGAGGGACCCGATGAGTGTGAGCAAAGTAGAGTGGCATCTATATCTGGGCAGCACCATAATGAAATGTATTATGTTGTATGGAAATTTACAACTGATGAGCATTTAAAAGGAGGGAACTGTTCCCTGGTAGGGGGAGATGTTGGACATTGGAGCCTAGACGAGATTCTTTTTTTTTTTTCATTAAGAAAGAGTATGTTTTTATTTATTTTCATTATTTTTTTCTTTTCAGATTTTTTTATTTGAATTAGAAACAAGATTGTTTTACATGACAATCTCAGTTCCCTTCTCCCTCCCATCCTCCCCTACCACCCCCCCCAACTAAAACCCTACCTATCAATACCCTTTCTAAAAAA